GCTCTCGATCGGAAATTTCGACCGACATTCGGAGAACTCGAATGACGAAATACGATTCGAGGTTTGTTATTCTATTTTCTTCGGAAGATTCTTTGGAATTCTACCGTGTGAGAAGCCTTGAATTGTCCGCCCTTGTATTTACGATCGAAGCTCAGTGTTCACGCACGAAGAGGGCACGTTCCTGCCCTTATTAAATGTACGAATGGAAACAGCGAAGTGAGGGACAGAAACGAGTCGAGGGAACGAGCGAGGGAGGAAAGTGACGCGATGCCTTTCACCGGGTCTCCATTACCTGATTGCCCAGTCCCGCGGGATGGCCGGAGGGAGGGACGTTGGCGTTAAAGCGTCGCATTGTGCCGGGGTCAGTCCACAAAGATCCAGAACCAGAAGAATGAGACCGCTTTCGCCTGCACGATGGGCTTTGGCGAATCGTTCGCGGCGAGATAAAACATCCCTGGCGAAAACGAGCGACGATTTACTCGATTTCATCTCGAACTAGGATAATCGACGCCCTATCAATCCCTTCGCTACATTAAAAAAAATATCTGTTTCGAACAGATTGCACGCGAAACAACGAACGAGTCCCTCGAGGGTGAAGTCTGGTCCAGACAAGGTTTTTTTTTTCCAATGCATATCGTTTTAAGCAAGATGCAATTTATTTCTGTTCTTGAAACTTTTTTTACGTATAAAGAAAATTTGACATTAACGATATAATTTGAATATATACGTGTATAGATATGTGCCCGTCCTTTTTACGAAGGCGAGGTTCTCATGTATGAAAATGAAAATTTCTTTTGGTTGTTTTTTTTTTTTTTGTGTCAAACCAAAATTACGACCTGCATCTTGCGATAGGAGGTTTTAATTGTGAGGTGCTCTAGAAACGCGCGTCGCAGTCGACTCAATGTGAATATTTCTTGTTGAACAAATTTCTACAGACATACTCAAGTACGTATGAAAATAGGATAAAAAGTTCGATAGAATTAAATTATTTTTTTTCCATACTAAACAAATTCACGAAAACCGGCTTTTTTTTTAGACCTCCCGATTCAGGATACCCCCTTAACAAGGGGATCCGTTCTCTTTTGGCGCGCAAAGACCCCGATTTAGGGGCCGAAATTACGCGTCTCCCCGACACGGCGTTCGCGATCCAACCTCAAAGAGTACAATATAGCCGTGACGGCGGGATGTAATATTTTTAAGCCGCGTGTCGCGACGTCAATACGTCCAAGAGAGGGCTGGGGGCGGGAAAAAAGTATGCATACAGAGCCGACCCCTCCCCCCTCTCACCCCACCAGCCCCCCGGTTCGATATATCCCCATCCTGGCTCGCGCTCGACGCGGTTAATTTCGATGAAAGGTCGCCCTCTCTGCGTCGGGGAAGGTCCGAAGGAAAAAAAATTCACGGGCACCGCGTCTCGAGGAGATCCCACGCGACGGGCCGTCGTAAATCATCGGCTCCGCTGACCTAGATCACCGGGGTTGCAGCAGATCTCGCGCGACGATCGGCTTCAACGTTATTCCATCATCTTGGACGTATCTGATCCGCGCGAAGGGAATCTTCGACTACCGAATTTCTAGGTTGAGGGGTACACTTTTCTCGGACGGTGAAAAATAGATTCCTTTTCGGTAATATTCATGGTGGTTGAGGTCTATCGAATATTTATATCAAATTGTATGGCGTACATTTGATATAGGATATTCGATATTACGCGATGCGTGTATAGTCGGTCGCATAAATATTCGTACACTCTGTGTCTGTTGAAAAAATTTGCTTGAATCAAGTGAAAGGTTTGACGTTTCCAAGTGCACGCTTGTATAACTATGTCGATGTATACGTAAATATATACCCGTATATAAGATTGTTCATATACGGATTTATAATAAAAAATTAATTTGGAAATATCAAACATACTATTTGATTCAATGAAACTTCTTTAATAGGCACAGAAGGCACGAGTATTTATAGGATCGTATGTGTGCTATATAATCCCGTAAGTACGTTCCTATGTCTATAGACGAAATTCGTCTAAATTATTATGCAGAAAATCGCGCGAATTGCCTCGAAAATGACGAAGAAAAAAAAGAGGACCGCCAATACGTTGGACAGGCTTCTGCTTCAGCTCGGTTTTGTTTCATCCTCCGAGTCTCCATCGTTATCGATCATTCGCCACAGCAGCTGGAGATCCTTATTAGCGGTTCTAGAGACACCTCGAGTGGATTTCTCAATGCGGTTCGTAGCCTTCCATCGCGATTCCAGGTCGCCCAGAGCGGTACTTTACCGCCCAAGTCTTAAACGGTCGAGACCTCGATAATCCCCCTTTGCAAATTACGACACTTAGAGACAGCTTAGTCTCGAAAATTGTCCTTCCCACCGAAACGGTGTCGGAGTGTCCAGCCAAGGAACGCCGCAGTTGCTCGTCGAACACTAATCCAGGCCTACCTATACTCATTATGCGCATCGCGAACTGACGCTATTTAAGGCGATACAACCGCGGGGTCTGTCGATGATAAATTGACACCCGTTATTATTCCCTGTCTGCGTTACAGAATCGCGAAACGCTGCTGGAAACTTCCTCGATAGCCGTGAATTAATTCTGCTATTCGCTTCGTGAAAAGAATAAAAGAGGGAAGAGAGAGTCTGACGGATCTCGCAATTAACGTGGTTCTTCGTCGTATTTCTCCGCGGGTGCGTTGAATACTGAGATGATCTTACAGAATTGAAAGGGATACGAAGAGTTCGGGGCGCGCTAGAAACAGGCCACCCCGATATATCTTTTTTCGAACATTGGAGAGAGGAAATGTGTTAACAAGAAACAGTCTGGGGATGAATACGTGATCGATCATTGGATCGAAACATTCCTCGATCGATAGAGATGTGCTTGCAGAGTATAATTACGGATGTTTACGGATTTTCGCTGGGATCTCTGTAGAGTGAACTTCGAGGCCCCGTTTCTTATCCTTTTCTTATTTCTTAGGGTACTGTTTCGAAGCTATCCAGGTCGACACGCCTGGGGACGGCATATTCTTTGATTTGTGCTCTTTCGATCTCGTGCACGAATTTTCCTTCGGGAAGGTTGCAAAACTATGGGCTTAATCTCCGAAAATAAACGAACGAAAGTCCAACGAAATTCCGACGCGCTCCGATATATGAATCATATCCAGAAAATCGAACTGTTCGCCGACTCCTGACGTCCTCCTAGCCAATATTCTCCAGCCGATCGTTTGATCCACGACTCCAGCGATAAAAAGATTTCTCAGTTCCGTACGGCCTGGCAATTCAACAAGGCCAGTCGTTTAATACGATCCGCCCCCTCGCACTAAAGTCGAAATGAAAACCGTAAATAGATTTCGCGAGCTCGCCTAACGCGAGGCGACGATCGTTAAGTTTTATTTTACGAGATCGCGTTCCACTCGTAAACCGATTGTTCGAGCCTTTCAGCCTCTTTTCTTTTTTCATAGCGATTCGTTTTAATCCAGACCGTTACTCTTGCTCCGAGTGATTCTCCCCCTCTCTCTCGTTTACGATTTCTGTCTTTCGCCACCCGGGAACAGTCGAAAATTCAGTTGGAACCACCCCACCACGCCTGACGACTAATTCGATTAGGTCGCAAACTTCAGGTTGGAGGTAATGCCATTCATTACGGCGGATGGGCCGCGGGGGACGGGGGAGTCCTCGACGCGTTTCATCGCCAGGACGTTGCGAGCCTATTTTCGTGGGAATTGTTCCGGTCGGTGGAGGGAAACAGGACGACTGATCTGGTTTTCGAATCCCAAACGGTTCAACCCTTTCCACTTCACTGCCGGGTAATTTATACATTCAATCTATAATTCGTACATTTTTAACGAAAATAACAGGCAAGGTGAGCCACGAATTGGCCACTTGAAATGTTCGACGCGAATTTATTTGTTGGGTATCGATAAGAATAAGAAGTACTTGTCGAATATTTTTGAAAGAAGCGTTTCCTACGACGGCATTACAAATATCGATGATATACGTTTAGGGATGGTGTTTTTTACTATAGGTGGACATCGGGAGGATTGACTCGGTCAAGTCGGATTCGGATAAGTTTGCAATTTTTTCGAAAATTAATTTTTCTCCCTTCCTGGGATATATTGCCTATACCTCGGTCTGGCCAGAGACGGTCACGCTCTACTTACTCGTGTCTGGCTAGCCACTCGCATTTGCATAAGTGGCCACTGGTATTTTGAAGAAGAAAGGGCCGAGGGGAATGTGATGCGACGAGTATAGAGCATTTAGGGAAAATCAAGGATTACAATACCTGCCTTCGAGTAACGATTTTTCACAGACAAAAAGATTCATAATATTTCTGCCGATCGAACCACAAATCAGACTTCAGAGGAAAACTTGGCGAACACACTCGCGGTCGTTCCCTCGCGTTACAGGAAGCCACAGACGTAACGATTTTACCATGGAACGAGTTGCATACCTATCGCGATATCTATCACAGATAACATGTCCTGTGGTACGTACCTTCGTACGCTTTGTCGTAAGAAGGCATACTCGTGGAAGCTATAGAGGCAATGATTGATACTTTATCCGAGTTACTACAGAACCACGTTGCATAACCTCGAGTATGCTTCACAGAGCAGGTAGATTTTCATACAATTTTTCTTTCAAGAAACAACCCTCCACCAATCCTTAAAACACCAATTTCCTCTGCTATAAGTTAACGCTTATCTGCCTCCAAGTAATTCACACGATAACGAAGCTTCGTTAAAAATGAATCAGGTCCTGTCTCGCGCACTCGACAATTATTTAAACAATCCTAGCAGCGCTAGCCGTGCAAACTATCACAAGAAAAATCGTTACGCGCCGAATTCTTCCAACCGCACTCCGACCTCATTCTTCAACGATTCGACGTGGAGAAACGTGACACAGCTATAACGTTACAACCCCCGCACTTTCCTCGATTTACCCGAAGCAATTCGGCGCGAGTTACATCGCTAGGTCCGCGGTGTCCCTGTAAACGGATCACTCACCGATGCAGACGAAGAGCGCCGCGAAGAAAATCGGCGGGAAAGCCCTCGAGGACGAAAACATCCTGGCGGCGTGTGCCGAGCTCGTACTGCGAGGAGGACACCGTCAGTTCGCGGCGAGGATCCTTCCAGGCAGGAGCCGCCCAGAGGGGCGGGACCAACGATGCCCCGCGAAACGAAAACAGTTAAGGATAAAACGCACTTGCACCGACTCGAATCGGTTCCCTCGATCCTCGTTGCTTCTCGATCCACGGGGATCCGTTTCCTCGTTGATTGACTCCGCGAAAGCCGCGAGATCCAGGATCCCCCTCGCGATCCTCCACTTTCTCCTCCTCCTCGGGACAGATCGATCGAAATATCTTCGCGTACAATTTTCCCGATTCGTCCAATTAAATTTCTTCTTTTTTTTTTTCTTTCGGTCCTTCTTTTCTCCGGCGACTCTTCTCGCGTTCGATCGTTTCGACGATCTCGAGGGACACTGGGGGATCGAACGCAATCGGTCGCGAGGTTCGATCGCAGGGCTAACGTAAAGGCGCGTCCTGACACGTACGTCTGGTGCGGCGCCGCCGTCGGACTGAGTTTCTACGTTACGCTGCAGCAGTGGCGACGCGACGCGCCTAGCCTAGGGTAGCCGCGCCGCGCCATCCGCGTCGTCGCGCGCGCTTATCTTCCGCACCTGTGTGGCCCCCCCTGATTTTCGGTTCTGTGTGCGTGACGTGCTTGCGCCCGCGCCCCGACGACTCCAAATTTTCGGCGTGCTCGGCGTGGCCTCCTTCGACGTGGATCGAAAATACTCTTGCTGAGAGTTGTTGATGAATGTTTACGTTATCTCCCGTTTTACGATAATCGTTGACAATTCGATACTGCACGCAGCAACGTAACTCGACGCTGGTTTCGTACCCTTTTATCCGACAAAGTTATTTAATTATCATTTTATTGGTTCCCGTCAAAATTCTCCCGGCTATCGTATTATTCAATACGCCACGCTCTCGTGCACCGACGCGCAAAGTTTAATTAAACAACCATGATTGCGAAGCTATTAAAAAATTTCAGTGTAAACGCGTCGTTGCATTCTCGATTTCGTGGAAACAAATTTATCTTCCCATTAATTGTAATATTAAGTTGTCCCGAGAGTTTCTTTCGCGAGTTGCGCTCAATTATTTGATGCGGTCGTGTTTATATAAATAGACGATCTTAATTTCATAGATATTCGTGTTGTAACAGTAATGGAACAAAATGAATCGTGCACGATTCAGTAATGTAACGGAAAACATAAAATATTGTGGACGTATTACTTGTTAATAAAGCGAAAGAAACTTTTCGGACAACCTAATATTTCACAGGTAGCGAATATTATAACAAGAAAATTGTTATCGACTTCGGTATTATTCGATATTGGAAAACGACCATTCGAACATCTCCCGAGTGCTCGAATACTTGTCCATTCGGTCACCTGAATAAAGATCGCCGTGCTCGCTCGTTACATAGCCGTACGAATATATTCGACAGCGAACGGGGAATTCGAAATCGGACAACGAGGAAAATTGCCATCGATCCCCGATCGTGAAAGTAAATCATTTCGGACGGTCCATGTTTCTTCGACGAAGCCAGGAACGCGTTTAATTTCCCTGCAGCGCGTTCCCCGTAGATATCCACCGTTTACATATCGAGTCGCATCAACGTTATTGCAGTATGCATTCACGCGGCAGTTATCGGCCCCGTATACACTGTGCCCGTCCTATGTGCATTATACGCAGGCAACATTGTGCCCGTCCGGCATCAATCATGAGATTTCCTGCAGGTGAACGCAGCCAAAGGTTTCCACGTTCGACGCGTTTCCTGTGTTCTATCGCGCTACGATCGATCCCTGTGTGACTCGATTCTTGATAAAAACTCCGCCTTCTGCGTGGCCGCCGGAAGCGTCTTCGTTCGAGCTTCCTTTTTTCGCGGCGCGAAAAGTCTCCGCGTAGCACTCGAACAGCCAAGGATCTGAAGAGCATTCGAACGATCATATACGTTCAAATACTGTTTGAATAGTCGAGTATTCGAACGGTCGAGTGCTTGAATAGTGTCCGAGTGGCCAACTATTCGAATGGTAGCAACCTATCGAGTATAATCGAGCAGCTGGAAATTTTCTTTGAGAAAGTCCGTGCGAGAAATCGGCCCGGACTACATTTTCGCGCGAAAATAAGTCCCTGAATAATGCACGTTTGAACACGTTCTCGAGCCACCCTGTGCTCCGTAGGGAAAGCTTGAAATTTAAATTACTTCAGCGTGATTTTTTTTTCTGACGAGGTTGGTCCCGCAAAGAAACGCCTTTGATGATTTTTCTTTTCACGGTGACGAGTGGGGAAACTTTCTCTCTTTTTTTTTTTTTTTTTTTTTTTTTTTTTGTTTACTTTGAAGGGAAAATTAGAAACTTTCTTCTTCCATGCAAAACACGTTACACGCGACGGTATGCACGCTATATAATATACGTATGCGGATCTCTCGCGGTGCACGTATGCGTCTTCTACTTGCGAGAGAAAAAAAAAAATTAGAATACACCGCGATGGAGCATTTCGTTTCTTTTCAATTTTAATTAAACATCTGCGTGAGTACTTAAATACTTTATTGAAATACTAAAATAATGAACTCTACGCAATTGGACCCGCAGGGTTTCAATTTAAATTTTAATTAAACATCCGCGTGAGTACTTAAATACTTTATTGAAATACTAAAATAATGAACTCTACCCAATTAGACCCGATTATAAATAATTGATACTTTGTTTAAACGCGAAGAAATAAAAACGTATTAAATATTACTCCCAGAACTTATACCATCAAAAATACCATTGTTTCGATTCCTTTCGATGTAAAGAGAACTTAAAAGAAAAAAAAAAGAAAAACACACAATAGTTGCCAGACTTTCCAGTCCCGATTGCCAGTATTAATCGATCACAAGAGTGGCGGTACATCGCGATAAAGCGTTCGCACCTCAACGGAGGCTACAAAATGCTCATTACCACCTGTCCGAAAAATCGACGCGGCGGTTGGCGCTGAGAAAAAAAAAAAGTAAAAAACGAGACGAGTCGAATCGATACGAGCGGAGGGAAAAAAAAGGGAGAGCCATGAATGGCACATTCGATGGCACTTTGACTCCCCTCGATAGAATTCTACGGGCGGAGATGCCTCGCAGCATTCCAACGGGACAGCAACAACCCCCTAACATCCCCTCGTTCCTTTTCTGTCGGCGAACTTATCGCAAAGTCTGTTCCATTCATTTATTTTCCCTCGTTTCGGCCCACATGGCCCCTCAAACGCCTGCCAGAGGACTTACGATATCTGCTTCCAATTAAAAGAGCAGAATTGGATCGCGTTAAAAAAGGCAGACTCCTTCCTCTCTGGACTCTGGGAACATCCACGAGGGCGAGAGGAGGAACGTGAAGGGTCTTTCGGGCTCGACGGACCTCGAACAACTCTGGGGATCTATCGATTAACCCCTGGTCGACTTATGTTCCGGAGGGGTCGACAAACCTTTCCGTGGAGGGTTGAACGATGCAAATTCTTTCTTGAAAGAAACGTATAATATTCGTTAAAATAATCGCAGCGTCATGTATATATATATTTAGACGAAGAGACAATGTTTAATTTATTAAACGAAATAATATTCCACTACTTTAACTCTGACCACCCAGAATCATCCTCTCCTGCCAACAAAAGCCCATACAAAAAAATTCCAGCCCTCCCTCGCGTCTCATTATTCACCTCCAGCAATAAAATCAACCCTCGGCTACCATCTCATCTATTTACCATCTATCGAGAGAAAAGAACCATGGAAAAGAAACGGAAAATCTCTGCCCAAGAAGCGAGGCGATAACGCAACGTTCCCTTTATTCCGTTTTCTTTTTCCTTTTCCTTTTTTGCCCGAACGATAAATCGCGCCGGTTAGCTCCGTAAAACAAAAAAATAATCCCCTGCAACGTATATATCCGTTTAATAACGAGCGCGGAGGACACAGTCGGATATTAAGTCGAGTCCAGTTTATCGAAGTGGCTGGTTTACAAACTGGTACGGGCAGTAATTCATCGTCGTAACGGTTCCGCCCGGCTCGTAACAACGCCGCGATAATAAAGCCAGACCCCGGGTCTTAGTTTAATAATTGATATTAACCCCTTATACGGGGATACTAAAACTCGCCTAACGCCCCGGCGCACAACAGCTTCGCCGCTGCGAGACGCTGCCCGTCGGGCAGGATTGTTCAATCCTCGCCGCGTGACTGCACGTTGCGGTATTTACCTCGAAAGTTGCACCCGTTTTACTCGAGTACTATCAATTTCAGGCTGGACATGGAAAGGTAGAATACTCATTCGTTCGACGCGAGCAACGCTTGACGCTAGGTTGGATAGACGGATTCCTACACTTTTAGGCCGATCGCACACGGGCGGAACTTATCAGTTTCAAACCATTCTAAAACTAGTTGCATGAGACCGTGGATCTAGGTAAAACAAAGATAGTGGGATAGGTGAAACAAAGACCGAACGCACACGGGCGCAACCGATTTGAAATTAGCGTTGTAAACCGTTTGCGCTCTTTGTTTCGCCTACTCCACTATCTTTGTTTTACCTAGATCCACGGTCGCATACAACTAGATTCAGAGTGGTTTGAAACTGATAAGTTCCGCCCGTGTGCGATTGGCCAAAGAGTGCAAACGGTTTGCAACACTAATTTCAAATCGGTCGGGCCGTGTGCGATCGGCCTTATTCTTAACCCCTTGCGTTACGATTTAACCCTTTGCACACGAGAGGTGAGCCTCGGTCACCATTAGGTTTCACACAGCAAATCTACAATACCTAATGTTTCTTTAGCTTTCACTTCTTTGGAACTCGAAGTATCAATAAAGTGATTGTCAGTGTAATAAAGGTCAGTAAAAGGTGAAGCAGAGTCTCAAATTAGTTTGCAAGTTATTGGATATGGGAGTCCGAAATAATTAATACGCTTTATATATCAAAAGAAATACACTCTATTTCACACGACGGCAGGAAGGTTCTTTTCATTAAGAGATCTCATGCTCGACTGACTGAACTTCGACACCAGAAGGAAATCAGGGTCCTCTCATATCTTCCGAGTGTTTAGGTTTCACGTCGCCACAATTCGACTCTTAAAACAAAGTATCGACGGCGATACGTGAAACGCTTCGAAGAACGCCGATTCAATTTTGACAACGAACAATAAGTTCATTCTTCGTGAAGGGTATTGATAATCCGACACAAGTCAATCCAAGCTTAGCATTCGAGTTACTGGTAGATACCAGAAAAAGAGGTCTCGAGTGCAAAGGGTTAATTACCCCATCAGAAATAAAATATTCACCTAGAAATCTCTAAAGCCCCCCCTTCTACAACAAAACCCCTGCCTCCTCCCGCCGACCCTGTTCTAAAATCTTTAAGAGACCACAAAGAACTGGCCCGAAGATTGAACCTAGTAACCTGCATCTACTCGCCTAACCAGGGTACACTTAACGCCACGTTGGATCACGGAAAGATTAATGGTTGGAAACATCCGCATGAATTCAGCGCGTCGCATCTGCAAACGCGATTTCACGCGCCAACAGCGCGAACAAAAGAAGAAGAGCGAGGCGCGGGGCGAAAAGGGCAAAAGGAAAAAAAAAATAGCAGGGAGAATAGGTGGTGCAAAAATTTAATTACGAGGCTGGAACTGCGGTCGCGGCACGCTCGTTTACAAGCGTTCGCGTCTCGTTGCGCGTTTCGGGGTTCACCTTTAAACTGGGTATCGTTACGCGTCGTTTTCGCGCTGACCAAAAAAGCTTCGCGGTATCGCGGACCGTTTTTCGTTCGACGAGACCGACGACGACTCGCAACGGCTCGTAAACGAAACGAGCGCGATCGGGCTCGCGATTTTTTCCCGGTGCGCTGCTTTTAGGTCGATTCAGACTATACGACACGAACCGGCATCGACACGTACCGGCACCGACACGACAAAACA